AAACTTTTATAAAGTAAAGATAATACACCAATGTATAACTTAGTACATATATTAAATGTAAATGCTTTTACTAATTTTACTAAATTTTGAATCCATATACTGTTGTTTTTTTATATCATATATATGAAATTATACTTTATATAATCAATAATGTACTGGCAGGAACAAATAACATTAATAGTTGCTTTGCAATTTCATGTCATTGCATGTGTACAATAATGTAAATATATTGTTGAAATTTATATTATGTATTCGATTGCTGGGTTTGATTAAAATATTTGTGCATATATATGTGTATTTTAAGCATCTGCAAGGTATCTCAGTATTTGTACCATGTAAAGCAGTACCCAAACTACTAAAGTTATAGTAAAGAGAAATCTTTACTGCATTAAGTTCTAATATTCTTTTTATTATTGTTTCATGAAAATAGTAGATTATGCATTGTTTCAAATGATGTTTGTATTAAACCATACTTCACATGCATGATAAAATAATATGAAAATAAATTATCGATTGTAACAACATATAGTTACCATGAATATATGTATAAACCTAGTATTGTTTGTTTCATAAAAAAGAATATTTAAAAAATAAATAATATTTAAAATCTATAACATACTAAGTATGTTCTATAAATTTAGTATCATATCGCTACATTTCTTACATAGAAGGGTTAGGCACATCACAGTTATGTAACATAACTTCAAGCATTTTACTCCTATTTAATTTCTTTCATCTTGTTGTTGATTTTTAAACATTCATTGCTGTTGTTCAGAGTTTCTTTCGATATTTGATCGTCAGTACTCGTGCACTCTTCTTTAATGCCCGTGGTGATATGTTCTTCTTCTTCTTCTTCATGAATCTCCTGGCAAGAACTCCTCCGCGATTTTCCCCTTATATAAGCTGCTAGACTTCTTCTTTTATTTTCTCTGCATAAGTAACAATTCTCTTTCGAAAGTAGCTTTTGCTCATGATGTTGTTGTGACAATCGTTGAGAATGCATTTGTGTTGATTTTCCTGGAAAAATAATTTTATTTTTTCTTTGTAACCTATTTTCTATTAATTTATCTAATCAACAAAAATGCTTTTATGTTGCTATTATATTTAAAGCACTATATTCTTTATAATCAAGAAGATATACAATTTTTAAACGATATTTATCGACCGATAATGCATTATTGTTTTTCAAAATTTTTAAATATTTATTAAATAGACAATATTTTATTTATCATGACTGAATTTGTCTCCTGAATTTTTTGGAGTGCTTTAATCATTTGTTTCTTCACCTTGAAGGCTTCTTTCATCGTTAATACTGGACAAGGTTCAAAATGCTTTCGAAAGGCATTATCGTGCGTTGCTGCACGTAGTCAGTTCTCTGACATAGCTCGTCGTGCTTTTAACTCATCGTTTCTTGACCGAAAGATATCTCATGGCCGCTATTCGCTGAATGAAGTAACGTGATACGTTGCACGTACCCTTCGTGCATTTCTTACCATGTCCTTTTTATCATACGTAAATACATTTCCGTGAAGCCTCTCATGGTGGAAAGCATATATGTATTATCATATTAAAAATAACACTGTCCCGTAATTAAAGATTTTATAATCAAGGTCCTAATTTTTCGAAAAACAATAAATTATTTTTATAAGATAAAACTATTATAGAATTTTTTGCTATTATTTAAATTATTTTTAGCGTAATATCGATACAGTATCCGATATAATTTCAAGCGAATTAAATCTATACTAAAATCTGTGTTCACACACGAATCATTCCTATTCACAATTAGACCTTTCGTAAACCAGCTGCGAAGAAATAGCTTTGCACGCAGAAGTACTGTGAATTGTCGAGTTGAAATTCCGGTTTTCAAACGGGCGATTGAAACATTTCGAAATCAATTATCGCGGGTTTTATACAAAGAGTAGAACATTTTTCTATACATATACATATATATGTATATGCAGCCGTGGAATCTACAAATACATATTGAGATAAAAGTATGATTGCAATTCATTCACTATACCCTTTATTACGTGATCTTCTTAACTCTATTTATTCTCGTTAATGTGTCATGCTGGTCACGAAATATATTTTTAGATCTCTGTTGTGCCTTTTCACCTACGTATATAAATACATATGTGTACTAGTCTTTCATTCGATAACAAGCCGTAGTAAATTATAAATAACGACACACGGTGTATAACTATATAGAAGCGACTGTACCTCTATTATTATGAAATTGATCATTTGCATATTAAATTACAAAATCCGTCGTATTCGTAATTGTAAACATGTTTTGCAATGTTCACCCGATTCAGCTTGTTTTCGATGCTGTGTGCTTTTTGATCATGCACCTTTCCAAGAAAAACACACAATCTTCGAAATTGTTTACTTTCCGCGATCCTATACGAAGCTCTTGTTAACACGCTGCATAACTATGCTACTAAACTATGTTCTATGATAACAGTATCTTTTTTTTTTTCACCGAAGTATAGAATATTTTTGCATTACAATTTCTGTGCATTGATGTTTTTCCAATCTTAATAATCGTCATTTTAGTGTATAATGTATGATAAGTAATGCAGAGGACTGGCTACGAACAACCAGTTCCCCCGGCAATAATGCAAAGGGTGGGGCAACTACGTTGCACAGAAATACCTGAGAGTTATTCTCGTACGTGTGTCACGGGCATTGATAAGAAAATATGAAAATTAACCTCATCCTGACCAAAATCTAATTGATTATCATTTTAATTCATCTTTGATTTTGCGCGCCTGCACATGAAAGAAAAAAAACCGTATTTTTTTAGACTTACATATTCCTTTTGCTTTTTGTAGTATTTATATTTCTTAACACGTTCCGTGTCACGTGTACCACTACAGGTGGTGACGCGAAAAATTTTCGAAAGAAAGTTACTAACCTATTCACTGAATGGCAATTTATAAATGATAAACAATATGACTCATCAAGCGTTAAAGCCAAGAGGGCGAGAACCTAGGATTCATGAGTCGATTTTTAAATAGACGACTTTGTTGTAAGAGGTATTACAGGAAGCATGAATAGCCACTAATTAAACATTGAACTAGCTAGGAAAGCAATCAGATTTCACTTTAGCGGTTTCTAAATTAAGTAGAGTGCCTCTAGACACCTGTAAAGTGCATGATTTAAGGCTACGACGATAATCGTAATTTGCGATGACCATAACAATTAGAATAACACGATCCTCAAGGCATCGATAAACGAGTTCACACGATCGATTATTCATTATTCAATACTTGAACTTTAATTGGATGAAATTTGTTCAATCAGTCAAATTTTTGATTATTTATCTCGATATATCTCACTATTCGTTAAAATCATCTTACAGCATTGATAAACTGAAATTTCATTTAGTGTAAACAGGTCAGCATTTTATCGTGTATTTTCGTTTAGGAATATTTTTACAAAATACGAAAAGTAAGCAACAAAAGTGATAACGCGTCTACATAGATATACATAATTAGTATCCTATGCACGTTGGCGATACCGTGTGAACGGAATATAATGGGGGGAACTTAATTTACGATATACCAGTAAACGATGTTAATTTCCTTAAACGTGTAAAACGATACTAGTCTTCGTCAAATGTAAATATTATTCAAATATGTCTACAGAGAAGGCCAGTACCGTTAAACTATTGAATTAAAAAAGGAAAAGAAAACAGAAAAGTTTTTATCGTGTTCGCAAGGTCAACTGTGAACTTGATTAAATTCACCAAGTACGATTACGAGAATTGATAATCACAAATCGTCTCAATATGTTATTTTCTTTTTACTAATAAACACATTATCTGGATTACTGTAAACTGATGAATTATATAAATGTAATCTATTCAAATTACTATTCGAAAACGTACCACAATTAAAGTAGTTTTCATTCCACGGCTGCTCGTAATCACGGTATTGAGGAGCTCTGAAAAAACCGTAGGTCATGACTTCGGGAACGTAAACCAGATCCATCGCGCAGCTGCCACGAGGTCTCCCGCCGGAATAATTAGACTCTACGTCTCTATTTTCCTTTCGTGAAAATTTATTCGCGTTTTCACGACTTCAACGTCGTTCTTATTCCTTTTCAGTCGTCTCAGTCGACTCTGATTTGCCTTGAGGTACGTCTCAATCCGTGCTCGACGGACAAGCGATTCTCTTTGTCTGACTTGAAATGCTTCTTCTAATTCTTCTCTTCTTTTGGAAAGAAACCGATCGAATGATCGCGAAGCTTAGCGAATTTTCGAAAACCGAGCGAAAATTTGTTTCACCAGTAAGTAATTGTTCTTGCTTTTTCGTTGCTTCTCTCTTTCACCGGTGTTTGGGAACAATTTATTGATAAACGATCGAGGATTTCTCGGCGTTACACATTGTTCGAAAGAAAGAAAAAGGAAATGAAACGGGTGAACAGAAAGAAAAATAAAAACAAAAAGGGAATAGAAACGACTGGTAAAAAACTGAGATCACGTTGTGCTTCAATTGCTACGATGTTTTGCTTTGAACTAAAGGAGTGCGGACGCTGTGCAAGCAATGTTTATGAGTCGGTTTTTCCCTCTCCATTGCTTCTTGTGTTTCCACTCCTCCCCGCTGTTACCGCACGCCCTGCAACACACCGCTTTGCCCATCCTTTTCCACCAATCACCTTCGCGAATTTCTCACAGATTTTATGACTCTGCAACGCATTTCCCGCGCTTATCCCTTTATGGTGTTGACCCTCTAATTTTTTTTATACTGTTTTTTTCACTGTAATTTCGACGTGCTCTGTTTCTTGGCCAAGGTGTTTGTTTACGTAACCGTTGAAATATGTTTTTCTTTTTATCTATCCACTTTATTTTATCAATTTTCTTTCCTAGGAATAGGTTACGTTATACATATGTATATATGTATATGTATATATATATATATTCTTGAAGAGTAATTTGTAAAAGATAAATAACAACATTGCTTATAAATACACAATTTATAAATGCTATTATTAGCAAGTAAGTACCGTTAGGCTAGACACTTAACAACGCACACTACGTGCACAATAAGAATTATTTGTTTATTTCCTATTTTACGATACGACGCAGATGCATGTCTATCTCGAATATCTTGTTGAAAACATAAAAAGCTAACCTCTGATAATAATTATCCCATGATATAAGCGCATCTGGTATATAAGTGCAAGTCTTAGCGATAATTTGCTTGTTTATCATCTGGCATTTAACGAGATAAAGAAAAATCTAATAAAGCTATTT